CGTGTAAGAATTATAAAATTAAAAACATGAAGTAATGATTTAAGAAAATAAAAATTTAGAGGAAAAAAAAGGCTCAGTATTTATTTATTTCCTTTATTAAACATTTATTTCAAAGTAAGTTACTTAATTTGTTTCATTTTCTTGTGCTAATACTTTCTCTTTAATTCTATTAGCACAAAAATAATATCTAATATATAATCATTTCTTGTTCTGTTACAAAGTTCCATTGTTCAAATTATATAATTGCTGTGTCAAGAATTCCCCTCGAAATTGTCAATCAAAATTTTTTTGTTCTCAACAACTTCTGTATCACTTTTATTCGCTATCAGTAGTAGTATTTTCTGGATTTAGAACTATACTACAAATTTTGCGAAGTGTTTGTTGATTGTTGTTAAGAACATAGTCATCACAATGAAACACTTCTTTTATATCATCTTCATTTATTACCTCCTCTCCACATTTCTTCACTAATTCCATTAAATGGAAAATTTTACTTTTTGTCTGTGAGATCTGAAAACCTTCAAATTTGCAGCTGTTATCATAAAGCTTAGCTAGCATCCGTTATACACTATTGTCGATGTATCGTGAGTTCAGGGCCTGAAGACATGTTATTCTACTAAGTCTTATCTTGCTTCTCTCGCATGCTGATGAAGTTAAGCCTGAATTATATATTAGTTTAGTTATTTATACTTATGACTATTTCCCATACATGCTTAAGGCTTATTTGAAGCCCGAATAAGTAAATTCTCACAGGCTTATCCAGGCTCAGTGCTAGACATTTTGTGGCTTGATGCAATCTCTGCAGGTCTGAAATTCTGCTCTGAAATTCTAAATGCTATGTGAAGAAATTTCTGTTGAATTTTTCTCCGTCTTTACACTTTGCAGCAGAATGAGCTGTAATCATCATCGAGCATAATGTCAACTTAAAAAGCTTCTATGCTCTTTGGTATTTAATTGCTAATATTAAAAATTAAAAACAGTTAAAAATTGTGTAGACATCTCTGCACTAGTCATTTTTAAGCTGCAGTGTATTGATAGTCATGCAGTGATGAAAACAAAAAACAAATAATGATACGCCAGATTACCATTAGTGCCGAAGCGATTTTTAGAATTGGAACTCTCCACGTATTTTATAAATGTGCAAGCAATAAAACAAAACAATAGCAATAAGAAAAAATAAGAGGTTGCTGGTGACCTGGATTTTTGTATTTTAGATCATTCCAGATTTTGGACTTTGTACTGTATTAGTTTACTTATTTATTGCACTTGCACATATTTTCTACACATGTTCAAGCTCTATCTTAAGCCCATAGATAAATTTTCACATATACTTGAGGATTATCGAGGGCTAGCACTAAACATTTGACATTTTCAGCCTATTGCAGTCTTTGGGGGTCCTAAATTCGGCTGCCAAATGCCCTCTAAATTCTGAAAATTTTGCATTGTGGTGCCTTCCCTAAATAATAAAGATTTTGCTATCCCTTAATTTTGTTGCTTGGTGCTTCTCTAAATTCTCAAAATTTTGCCTGCTTTAAATTCTGCCACCTGGTGCTGCTGCACCATCCCTGATCTTATCTGAATAACAAATCAGTTATTCTGAATTCAAATAACACTAAATGCAGTCTATAATATTATTTACAAAATCCATTGTTTTGTGCATGTAAAGAAATTTCTGCTAAATTTCTCCTTGTCAATACACTCAAGACTTTACAACACAGTTAACTGAAATCATTGCCAAGTATAATTGTCAGTATAAAAGATTACCATGGTTTTATGCTGATAGTCATAAAATAATCAAAAAGCGAAAAAGTAATAAATGAGGATTCACCAGGTTGATGTCAAAGGTATAAATTATTCAGAAGGTGTAATAATAAATGATTGTTTCTTCAATATGGAGGTATTTCATTTAGTGCAGAAATGAAATTAAAATTCGGGATTTTTCACATAGTTTGTTATGAAAAGATATCGCTTTTGTAAAACATAATAAATACCTAACTAAATAAAAACTCCAAGCAAAAAAAAAAGGAGGGGGGGATTGCGGATATGCCGCATTTTAGATCATTTCGGATATTAGACGTTGGGATTTTGGATTTTATACTGTATAGGAAACTGTTAGGAAGACAAATATTGTATAATTTGGAAACAAAATCTCTAATTACAGCTTTTAAATTCAGTGACATAATCCTGACCTGATAAATTTTGTTGGAAATACATATTCAACGATATCAAACACTAAGTATAATTGATTTTAAAATGCTAGGTTTTTAGGTATTTTCTGATTATCAGCATTTGTGCCAAAAAGTCGTGATTTTGCAAAGAATGACTTCAGAATGGTGTCCTGCTGTGCACGTAGGGAGATGCACAGCTTGACATTATTCCCCTCTGTTTCTTGTTCTATCATTTTGAAGAACTCCATATCTATTCAATATTTTGCATATAAACCCCAGAATGTGCACTGCACAAAAAAAAGGGGAGACAGTTCTATATTTTCCATTCTGCTGGGCCCATTCATGAAATTCATATTAAATTTTTCATGTCTAGAAAGCACGACTTAGGATATATATTAGATTTAGATAGAGCATAGGTATATTGACACAGAATCGGACTTTTCTGAAATAACATACTAATTTTTTTCTATATTTCGTTTCTACGAATCAAATTATGCCTAAATATTAAATTTTGTAAAATTTGGCATGAAATTTATGGAGAAATTAAAATATTTAACTTGCTGCATTTTTTCAGTTGCGCCAAGAATAATTCACTTGGCGAACTTCTTAATATATGGCAACCTATTTTCCTTTCCCTTCCATTGGGCAGAAGCGGAAAAAAGTCACAGCGTTCCTAGCTTTTTATGTTGTGCATGAGGGGGAAAAAATGTCGCATCGTTTCTACTTTCAAATAATTTTAGCAAAGTGCCTAAAACACATTTGATGTTATTATCACTTTGAACAAATATGCCAAATTTCAGAACGCGCCAATATATAAATACACGTATATCTTCAGAAATTTTCAATAAAAAACTAATTTTTTGCAGGTATGCTTAGAAATACATCTACTTTAAGATGATGGTAAAAATTTTATAGATTATAATTCAAATTTATTTTGAAAAATTTATAAACATTATTTAAAAATACAGATTTTAAAAATAAATCATAAAAAATAGACAAATTTTATTTGGAATGAACCTAAATTTCAAAATATCAAAGGAAGAATCAAATAAGTTTAATAAAAAAGAGATATAATAAATATATATCAAATTCAATTAGCGTTGAGGAGCTAAAATTTTGAGGGCTAATTTTTAAAAAACTACTCGTGTGATTTTTACAAGACTTGGCAATTTGGCATAAATTGGGTCCTGGAATTGAAATGTGGGAAAAAAAAAGGCATATCATTTCAGAAAAAGTCCGATTTTGTGTCAAAATGCCTATATTAGAACAATGCTATATATAAATCTAATGTGCATATTCTAAGTCGTGCTTTTGAGACATAAAAAACTCAAGTTGAATTTCGTCAATTGTCCCAATAGAGCGGAAGATATAGAACTGCCCCATTTCTTTTCGCAGTGTACATATTGAAACATTGACGGTTACTCGGCAATATATTATACTGTTATAAAAAATTAATAGCATTACATTCATGGTTGGGTAGATCCCGTAGTTCCATGAATGAACTGTAAACTAAAAAAAAAAATTTCTTTCTTAAAACTCCGACTTAAAGGAGTTAGAATGTTGCAATAGTGATTAATTTGTGTTATAGTTTTTCCAAAAATTGCAAAATTATTTTACATTTTTTTTCCACTCACACATTTCTTAGTTTTTTGCACTGTTGTTCTCCCATGTACAGAGTAATTTTTTCCTCTTAAAAAAAAAAAAAAAAAAAAAAAAAAAAAAAGGATGAATTCAGTTAATTCATTATCACTCACGTTTTGCACACATCAAAATCTTTAAATAAAAGGAAAAAAAAAAAATGCAAGCTCCCTTTAAAGTGAGCCATATTTATTATGCAGTAAGCTAAGTCTAAGATTTTGCTGTAGATGATGTACTGCAGTATGTGGTTTATTGCTATGCCACAATCTGCTGTCATACTGGTGAAAATATCTGGAGAAGTGGAAAGCTGTCTGGGGGGGGGATTTTACACACTTGTCGGGGTTGCCTCATAAATATTTTTGGTATCATTATGGGTTGTCACATAGATACTTTTTGGTGACATGGGGCATTGCCTCATCGATACTTTTTGCTGGATTTCTGGCGGGGATATAGGTAATCAAAAGGTACTAATTTTGCTTTCAAGATATAGTTGAATGCAATCTGTCTGCTGTTACAGAAATCCTATTTAAAAGTTGAGTGAAATTTACAGAGTTACCATTGTCCACATTATGTATTTGTTGATAATTTTGTGAGAGTACAGTTTGATGATAATATAGCAAGCAAAGAGTCCTATATGGACACTGTAGAAAAAATTAAATTATGTTCATGACGGTTTGTTCTTTTGACCTAGAGATTAACAACAAGCTCTAGTGAAATATGAAATATGTAATGGGATATTTGAATGCTTTCGATAAATAAATTAATTTGATAAAGGAATTTAGAATGAATCTAGGTTTTACTTCCAGATTCCATTTCTAATTAATTTATTATATAACCTGTATTTGAAAAAAAATCATTATTATATTTTATGTATAACATATTTTTTTATTTATTCACTTTTGTGTTTCATTGCACATATGTATGTTCATTTTAGAGTATTCTAATTTAACAAATATTTTCAGTTAAATGAATTTTACTGTCTCATATTAACAACCATTTCAGTAATATTATTATTCCCACCATCTCCTTCTATTGTTTGCAATGAAATACACTAATTGATACTAGTTATTGCTCGACTGGTTTCCTGTATTGATTTAAAAAAGGAAAAAAAAAAAAAAAAAGGGGGGGGGGCTTTTAGCTTTGTAGATGATAATATATATATCTGTATATATAATGTGATAAATTTCATTGCAGGCTTAGAAATGGATTTCAAAAATTTGATTTCATGCATAGAATGCCATTCAGATTCAAGAAATGTCAGTATAATTCTTGAAACCTTGCAAACAATTATTAAAATTTGTGAAAATCAGGGTGAGTATAATATAAATTTAAACTATGTTTTAACAAATTGATCTCATTACTTTAATTCATCTGAAGAATTAGATTAAATTTTAAGTTTCTCATTTCTTTAAACTGAAAGTCACTTAACATATCATTTATAGAATAAATGAGTAATGTATTAGCACAAACAGCTTGGTTCAGTTTCTCCCTTTTTTACAAAAGGAAGAGAATGATGCTTGATAATTTCAAAAGATAATTATTTATATTTTTGAATATTAATTAGGTATTTATTTCAAAAACCAATTAATATATGTACCAACAAGAAATTTTAGGTTAGAAATTTTATGGTGATTGTTTTAAGAATATATTCAAAGCAGTTGCCCTTTTAGTCAATTTATGCCAAAATGCTGCATTCTTGTAGAAATTTTACTGCAATTTTTTCTACTGCTGGCAAGTTCCTCAATATTAAAGTGCATACTTTAATATTGAGGTTTCATGCAAGAAATATCACGATTTGTTTATAAAAACAGTTGAAATTTGGAGTACAGCAAAGACAATACTTAATGGAGGCACTGCTTGCTAAAACTAAAGAATTATCATTCACATGGTTGCCAGAGTTTGGTACATTTTGGGAATTTAATGATCTCCACTTAAGTGGTTACACTTTAACCCAAATACCAATAAATTTGGCTAATATCTTATTTTTAACAAAAGTTTTTCTTTCAAATTTTTTAACTCTTATTACATTTAGAGATTTTTTCAACTGATCAATTTTTATAATTAGCCAGAGTTTGTTTTCATACTGTATTGCATTAAATTGGCATATGAAAAATTAAAATTACCTTATCTTAAGGTAATTTATTCTAAGGTATATCTAATTCCAAGGTAATTTTGTATTTAAAGGTATTAAAGGTAAGCTTTGTATTTAAAGCTTTTCAAAATAAAAATGCATATTTATATTTCTTGAATATGAATTTATTTATTTGTGATGAAATTCTTTTTAATTAGCAATTCAATAACTACAGAGTCTGTGACAAATTATACTTTATGATAACCAAAAAGGAGAATACTAGTACCCAAAAAATGGCTGAACTGCATCTTTTTTTATATTGGAATAACAGATTATATATACTGGGAAAATTGATAATTATTAGATAATCAGAGTAAAATTCTTATATAGCAGGGTTGGCCATACTTCCTAACCATAGGAGTGACATATTAGAGTTCACTTACAGTTCAAGAGCCACACCCAGATTTTTCAAGTATAATTTTAGCCTAGCTTAATAACATCCACTCTGCATTATTGGCTATGTTTCATGAGATTAGCGGCAAAAGACAAGTTCTGCCGCTAAATTTTGTCTTGCTTCTATTGCGCACAGAAGCAGTTAAGCCTGAATTGTATTAATTTAGTTATTTATTATACTTTTTCTAGTCTATTTTTTGCAGATGCTTATCTGAGTCCTGAGTAAATAAATTCACACATACAATTAAGGCTGATCGAGGGCAGCGCTAGATATCTTACTACCTCTGGGGGTCCTAAATTCAGCTACCAAGCACCTTCCTAAGTTCTTAACTTTTCCTGCCTCTAATTTTGGGTCCCAGTGCTTTCTCTAAATTCTAAAAATTTTGTCATCTCTTAATTTTGCTGTTCGATGCTTCTCTAAATTAAAAACATTTCTTTTTCCTAAATTCTGCTGCCCGGTGCGGCCATACAAACTCTGGTGTCGTTTCTGTGTTAATGTGAATAATAAATCAGTTATTCTTAATTCAAATAGCATTTAATATGATCTTTTGGTCTATGAGTATCATTAACAAAATCTGGTTTTAGCATATGGAAAGAAATTTTTGTTAAATTTTTCCTTGACAACGTTTCTGAGTACATTTAACTTAAATCTGTAATCATTGCCAAGTGTAATGTCAATATGAAATGTTACCATACTCTTTGCTATTCAGTTGCTAATATGAAAAAATTATTTAGGCATCGCTGCATGAGTCGTTACTCAAGTTATCATGTGTTGATAAATATGCGGTGATGAAAGCAAAATATAATAATGATACGCCAGGTTGGTGTCAGGGATATAAAATATCAATAGTGTAAAATCAACGATGTTTCTATATAGAAAGTTTCAGTTTGAGATGTATGCCAAGCAGATATGCAGCTATGGATCCAAATTATTGATCACACAAATTTATGCTGTTTCTTCAATAATGAGGTATTTAATTTAGTGAAGTGAAATTAAGAATCAGAACTGTCCACATGTTTTATTATGGGGAAAAATCAATTGAGCATGCGTAAAGCATTACAAAAAATGTTATTAGTGGATTTGAAGTCCGGATTTTAGATCATTCCGGATATTGGACTTTTGGACCTTGGACGTGGTACTGTACATCCTTTCTTTTTTCCCGGGTGGTTGACTCAGGCAAACGCCTTTGAAGTACTGGTTAGGATCTGTACTTAGGCAGTCTCAACCACGGGGGCATAATAACAGACTTCACAGAAGGCCTGAAGGCTCTCGGGGCTTGGCAAGGACCTTACTGGTACTGCCTTGTCTGCCCTTGCTATGTAGGGTCTCAACATTGTCTGTTGATCAATTGCGGGGTGGCACTTAATCCCGTTTGGCGCGCCTATTAGGTCGCATCAGGCCGGGAGCTGTTGTACTTCCTTTCTATAGAATAGAGCAGTGGATTATTTTCAGTTATGCCATTGTGCCAACAAATGAAGTGTGCATTAATGGAAATGATGATGTACTTTATTTGAAAACAGATAAACAATGGTGATGTAATGTGAAACATTGTAACAAGAGAATATCAATTTGAAAAGGAACATGGTTCGAGAGCTGTAGAATCTCATTTTTGTCTGCACTTCAGTTCATTTACAGCTGGCCAAGAAAGTAATATCTGTTGAATTGGGTAGGGGAAAGAAGAACAGTTGGATATAGCCTATAAAACAATAATCAATTTAAAGAATTACATGCAGTAAGTTTGTACTCATAGCGTTTTAAACAGAGCTACTGGAAACTCTGATGCAGATTTGAACTGCTTTGTGAGTTTATCTAAAAGCTTAAATTAATATTTAATTCTTTTATGTACTAAATTTCTAATTTGCATTTGCTGATTGTAAAGAGTGATGTGTGATTGTTTATTAATTATTGATGTTCTAATCAGTTTGATTATTAGATCTGTTAAACCATCAGTAATTTCTGTGGATGTGGAAGTCAATCTGACATCTGTTTCATTTCAGAAGTAATAAGCAAAAAGAAAATGAAAATTTAGCGACTGTTATTGGAATAAGATTATATTTTAAAAATGTAAAGTTGAATGAAAATTAAGTGAAATCATATTTTAGTTCAGTTAGGCCTTTTTTTTTTTTTTTTTGTAACTACATGTTCATATCTACTAGACAGATCTCCTCTAAATTATTCATTTTTAAAACATGAAGTTGCTGACGTTAACTTGAGAATTAAAGTTTCATTATTGTCCTTTCATTTCACGATGAACTGTTTTTCATCCATTATTGATGAAAAAGTATCTTGATCAAGTAGAAATTGAGTTTTCTGTGTATCAAGCAGAAAATTTTAAGGAAATAGCAGATTTTCTGTTTTATATAGTATGGGTAGAAACAACAAAATTAAAAGATATGAATGGATGCACTGAATGCAAAATATTTCCTTTTATGATACTTCCAGCTTTAATAACACCTAATTAAATTGCAGCCGTGAAAGCATTCTCTCTATCATTAAAAATAAAATAAAAAATTCAACTGCATTTCAGCCAAATTTAGGTATGAAAATTCTTTTAGCCATTCACATTGAATAACATTACACTTATTAAACTTACTGGTTAATAAACTCTGTGACTTATTAAGTTCATTTTAAGGAACCGAAATAAATGCATACTAATTAATAGTTAAGGAACCAAAATAAATGCCATCATTTATTAAGCTCATCTTATCAGGCCTTGTATTCCTCTTTACTTGCTTTGGAAACATGAACTGTCCTGACTCGGAACAGGGAGCTTACTCAAGCTATGTTCAATAAATTGTGAAGTAGACAATACACACAGGAAGGGTATACAAAACCTTTTATTTTTCTATCTTTACAGCGATTTCCGGAACTTCGGAATACAGAGACCAACTGCTTGTGGTCTGAACGTAAGAATATAAAAAATATTAACTAAACTCTAACTAAAACTAACTTTGAATTAATATATAAGTGCCTAACTTTAAGATTGGCCGTTATTTAACAAAATCCGTATGTAGTACAGCTAAAACTACGATACGTTTGAACTTATCAAGAGGACTAAACCTCTGGCCTTGAAGGCAACTAGCAACCGAGTAAAACTACTATGGCAAGCGGCCTGCTTCTAATAACTCCTTCCTCTCTCTTGCTTGGCAAAAAGCCACAACTTAAGTACTTGGCGGTAGCAAGACAAATTTGCATAAATAAGTTAAAGCTTTTAATTCTGGCCGGAAGTAGAAAATAAGAAGTGATAGTAAAGATTTAAAATAAAATAAACGTTAGTAAAACTTAGGATCCTTACAATCTCTGCCACTTTATAAACTCAGATTGACAAAAGACTGATTTTTCAATGCTAGAACTTCCTGTATAACTGTTATTTATTTCAATAAAGTGTCAATTTCTCCTTCTCAATTAGCATAGTTATCAAAGAGATCTCCACACTGTGCTTCAAAACAGTTATTGTCCAAAGTCTGAGCTCTTCTGAATGCCTATTACGAGAAAGTTGTAAGTTAAGGTAAAAGTTTTTATGGAGATGATCGCTACCAGCAATGAGAAAGGAACAACAAATGCTGTTGAAATAAAAGTAGAAATGACACCATGGAAGAGAATGCCGAAATGAACTCTAATGCTATCTCAGATATGAAAGAAAGCACTGCTGCTGTTAAAAGGAAAATTATTGATGCTGTGAATAAGAACATAGTTGCTATAGAAGAAAAATTTGAACAATAGTTAGAGCAGCATTTCTCAAAAGTTTTTCAATAGGGGATCATTTTTGTAAATTAAAATGTTATGCAAACCATTTTACTCTCGATCCCCTTTAAAAGCAGTTATTTTAGCATATATTCCTACTAGTATACTTATGATTTTAATTGAGGTACATTTAATTTTATATTAAATAATTTAGTTAGTAGGTGTAAGTTTATATTAATTGTTAATAATTCAAAATTGTTAGAGTCTGGTAATCTTTATCTAAATTAACTAAAAATTAAATAAATGTCAGACTCACATTCAAGAGATGGATGAGATTTTCAGTTCTGGCATGATTGTTTTGTATCTGGATATGTGTTAGTAAGCTCAGGTCTAAGATTGGCACATACATCAAGTCAATTTGATTTGGTACTTTGTTTTTATTTGAATTACTGAGGAAAACCCTGTTGCGCACAGATACATAGATGCAAATTTAATTATAATTTTAAAGCATCATTGTATCATATTACATTTTCACTGATTAATGAGGTCCAAAAATTAATCATACATTCTGTTTGAAATTTCATTATAAGTCCTGTGTCATTTGTATATGTCACTGTCAGTTATAAGTGTCAATTATAAGTTCAGTGTCATTAACACATTGTATGTGAGAAATATATACGGTCTACTGGAAGTTCTGTCTGATTTTGGAACAAAACAAAATACAAATTTTTCTTACCATCAATAACCTTTATTAAAATAATATAATTGCCATTATTGTTAATGACTTCTTGCCAGCGTCAGGGCAATTTGTACATCCCATCTTTGAAAAATGATGTAACTTTTGATGTGAAAAATTTAGCTGGTGCTTGTTTGATGTCTACTTCATTTTTGAATTTTTTGCCATTCAAAAAATTTTGTAAGCACAAAAACAAGTGATAGCCAGAGGGTGCTAAGTCTGGAGAATATGGTGTATGTGACAGAGTTTCCCAGCCTAGTTCTGCAATTTTTTTGACGAGTCCCCAAAGCAGCATGTGGCCTGGCATGATCATGATGCAGTACGATGTCCTTCCTGTTGAAAATCGCCAGCCTCTTTTCTTGGACTGTTGTCTTTAAATTGTCTAATTGCTGACAGTATAAGAATTTGAATTCAATTTTCTGAATTGAGCCTTTTGTTCAGTTTTAAAAGCTCATAATATACTGGTCCTCGAATGCCCTACCATATATACATCATTTTCCTTATTCAGGGTCAAATTTGGTTTAGAGGTGAGAGGGCTAAGTTTTCTGGGTTTACAATATGCCCTTTCCATTACGATGTTTCCTTGGGTGATCCACTTTTCATTCCCAGTTAACATTCGGTTCAAGAAGGGCTTCGGAGCAAGTAGAGATGTGCATATGCCAACTCGATCATTCAAATTCTTCTGACTTAATTCATTTGGCACCCATCTTGAATATTCCCACACCAATCCTATTTTCCGAATATGGTCTGAAATGGTTTGCTGAGCTGAATTAAGCCTTTCTGCGATCTCCGATGTTGTTACAAAAGGATCTTGCTCCAACATGGTCGTAACAAGACCGTTGCTGATCAAAGATGATCGCTCAGAACGTGGCTTATCAGAAAGTTTGAAATCACCTGTTTCAAATTTTTTGAACCACCTTCTGCATGCCTTATCAGAAACTGTACCTTCACCAAACACTTTCAATAAATTTCTATATGCTTCTGTAGCATTTCTTCCTTGTTGAAATTTGTATAAAATACAGTGGCATAAATGAACTTTATCAATGGCCATGGGTACACTGTTGCTTCACATTTAAGACTAATGTGAATCAACTTTGTTTTAGTTAACGTGCTACTTCAGTATGTATACATTAAGTGATAAAAATAGAGAGCAAACATACGGCAAATAAACATGTGCTTACATATCGAAAATTGTTGTCATAAAACAAACATAACTTTCCGGTAAACCAAATACTTTTACATTTTTTGTAGTCTGTGATTAGAGCGTGGGTCATGTAGAAGTATGTATATAGCAGATTTGTACTGGAGAGCAGGTATTGTACAAATACGATGGGAATTGTAAATATGTAAGGTGTTTGTGTTGCTAGGCAATAATTTCAATTGTTTCTTTCTAGAAGTTTAGTTTATCAAGTTACTTGCTTTAAATATACTCACATGCAATGTGTTAATTGTTCTCTTTCATTCAGTTACAGTTTGTTATTTTTAATATTGCAATGAAAAGAATCCCAACGATATGAAAATTCATTATATTTACCATTTGGAAAATGTGTTTCAAATTGTGAACTGAGAGTTTCGAGAAAAGATTTTAAGGTTGGAAATGGCGAAATAATTCTCTGTTTTACACAACTAACCCATAAATCAAAATTTCTTTTAAACCCCTTTATTTACTCACTGGCTCTGAAAACAGTCAAAGAACTACTTGTAGGCAGAGATTTAACTGTTTAGTTTTGAGAATACATTTGAAAGACATGATAATGTAATTAGCCATGTGTCATCAGCAAGAAATAATGTAAAATCCTTGTTAATTTCATTTACAATATAACAAGCTTTGGTATCTGAATTCAAAGAACTTTATGATCAAAGCCAACAAACTTCAAAATGAAGAAGAAGCTGTGCTCGCTGTTCATATCACCACAAAGATATGAAAATATTCTGCTTTTCAAATATTTTTCTTCGCCTTAACAAACTTGATTATTAAGACACAATAACACGCCGAATAAATACTACTTCAGAAGTCAAACAACAAACTTGAAGTCAAACTTGATTATGTTAATATTGTCTTCTAACATAGGTCTGAATTTAGATGGCATATCATTGGCTGGCAGTTTTTTTTTCTTTATGAATGAAATAGTTGGTTCAGGAAACATCAGATTACACAGCTCTAAATTTATGTACATTGCCACTGTACTTTCCATAGAGCTCATGAGCCCCATTCAAACAGAAACATATGCATTTTTTCCGATCAATTACATGCTCTTGTGTGTACTCATTTAGGACTTTAAAAATTTGCTCTCCAATTGTATGAGTTGGCAGTCTTTGAAAATTGCATATCTTCATGAATGTCATAATTAAACTCATTATCTGATATTAACAAATGAACTATGCATCAATCGAAATATCTGTTGTCTCGTCTGCCTGAAATTTTATTCTACTGTTAAGTCCACATTTTTCATTATTAGCCATGTTATTAATTCAGCATGTAATAGTGTCATATGAATGAGGTATATTGATGTACGTAGAAAAATTTTCACTAAATATAATTAACTGTATCTTTTGTAACTGGAGATATTGTTGTCTCACTTAAAAAATGAGATATCCTGCTATTCGAAGTGTGAAGACTTGTAATATAAGAAAATTTTAACGTCTTTTTGGTTGTGGAACTTATATAACTTATAAAAATAACTTTCATTTCTTTATTCAGTTTTTCAGGACATCATTGGAAAAATTCAGTGGGTTTACTTTCTACACTTGCATGTTTTATTTCTAACCCTTGTCAGAATTTGAACTAAGAGCCTCCTTACTACTAGCTGGATACACCAAGAAGGCACATATAAAAAGAAAGAAAACATTTTGCATTACTTTTAAATTGTCATAAATAATCAAATAAAGTTTTTTTTATTATGAAACAGTGCTTCATGATGTATTTCAAAGTTGGAAAGCAATAATTGTATTTTTTATAAATTAAATTTTAATTTTTTTCTAATTTAGGAATTTTGTAGTTAATTTGGCACCTTTTCTAGATTTTTACCAGAAGCTAGTGCCTTACCATTGTCCTGGCTGTGTTGTTCCAAGTGATATTTATGGATATTTTGGTGGAAATAATTCTTTAACTATTATTATTGACTGATTGTTAATGAAAATTATTGGAAAGTAAGGTCAATAAAAGTACTGGAAGGATAAATATGGGAATTCTGTTCGAAAATCTGAAAGATAGTCAGCTGCTTTAATATGGTGCTATGAAAGAAATGAAAGCATTTAACCAACACCTTCTAGATATTTATTCTTTGAGACAGTGTTGATTTGCCAGCACATGAAGTTTAGTCTTTGAAATCATGATGGCACTTTAAAACAATTTTTTTTTGTTCCAAGATACAGAATAACAAACTTCTAAAGTGTTATATAAAAACTTTTAACATTACTTAAATTATGTTTTAGGTTAGTTTATGTTGTGTATTAACTACTCATGAATTTGGGTGCAGATTACTTAATTACTTACTTCTATTCTACACTTGGTGCCTGGCATAGCAAAAGTCGAGAATAATGCAGCTTAATTTTATTAAGTAGTGATGTTGTTCTATCTGATCAGTGTGAAGATATTAGAACTCATATAAACATGTGCATAATATGATACAATTCTATGACAGAAATTAATTTTTAAAGTCTGTAGTGAACTTTAGTTACAGAATGAAAATTGTATTGTTCATTACTAGCTCTTTTGGTTAGTATTAACACTTTGACTGGCTACCCATTACGTTCTAACTCTTACCATCTGCCAGCATCATTTGTGCAGATTTTTGGTTTTAATCAGCTCCCTTTGCATTCCCAATGTTCAAATTAGAATAAACTTCTATAGAAAGAAATTATATAATCATAATTAAACTTTACCATAATCTTAAATTTTTCATAAAAAGTCATTCTATAAAACCACTTAATAATACATTTTAATTATGTATTACAAACATCATGCAGAAATGTGAAAAAAATTATCTAAAGGTTTTAAATAAATCATATCCATAATACTAACAGAACAGATGTACTTTACAGAATACCAACTGATGAATGTTGGCAGATCAAAATTATTTAGGTATTGCTGGCTGATAATTGCTGCCAAGTAAAGTCATGTTAATATGAAGCTAGGCGATTCATTAATTTCCCAAGTTTTGTATGTATGAAAGCAACTGGTAATCGCTGACTGACTACTCTGGTTATGTGACTGGTTATGTGATTGATAGGTAATTGCTGAAGAAAAGTCATATTATTAAAATGATAGCTGAAGTCACTTGCTTTGTATTTGTGCATATAGTGTAGCAGCTGGTTATCAATTAAATCAAGTCAATGTTTATGTGATACTGGCATATATACTTGCGTAAAATGATAAATTCTGGAGTAAAATCTAATCACAAGAACCCATATAGTTCAAAACCATTTGACTATCTCCACCATGTTTTGCTGAAGGTGTAAGATTCTTCATTTTATTGTTAAGTATTGAGTTTTTGCCACTCCATTTTCTTTTAATAATTCCCAAAGTATTTTTCATCTGCAAATATAGCTGAAATGAAAAAATTTTGAGGCTTTTTAATACAGATCTTAGTGAACTGTAGTTATATCTTTGATTCGCTTTATCGAACTTCGATTCGCTTACTAGTTTTCTTCTAGCTATTCGTCCACAAAAGTTATATTTCCTGAAAATTTTTCTTCTAGTTTCTGAATTATAAGATTTGCTAAATATTCATTGAGCTTTGAGTCAATGGGGTTTCACTCAAAGTCAAAATGACTTCACTAGTTTTAGGATTATAAATAATATTTCTAACGATCCACTTTTCTTTGTGTTTAGTGAATCTTCTTGGATGCCTTGTTCATGGTCTGTTTTCAAGGAAATTGGTTTCACAGTATTTCAGAATTAAATTGAACAGTGGCTTCTCTTTTAAATTCAGTAGTTCAATTATTTTCTTCTCAGATTTTCTCGATTACCATAAAAAATTTTAATTGTTTGCTTGCATCAAAAGAAATCTAAATTTTTTTGAGCCACGTAAACAAAGCAGCTTATTATCTTTTAACTCTCTGCATTTGAAAGAGTTGTATTTGATTCTTGGAGTGGCATCCGACCTCATTTCAGTGGCAAAATTCCACGAACCTCAATGGAGTGACTTCTGATGCAAGCAAAAGATTGTCCCTTCCCACCTTTATAAAGGGATAATTTCCTTTTTGTTCATCCTTCTCGAGAGTATAAGATAGGACCCGATTTTTGGGTGAACTTGTGTACACTTAAGGAGTTATAATAATTTTGTTTACTCCTTTTATACTTACTTTACACAGGGCGTTTATGCATTTAGTGTATTGCAAACTGTGAAAGTCGACATTTTGCATATTTGTTTACTGGCTGGTATATAATTTTAAGTTAGATAGATATCTTTTCCAGATTTAAAATCCTTCCAGTTGTTTTATAAGAAAAGCCTGCTAGAACTGGCTCTTTATAACTTTTGTTCTGCAATGCCTCAATACTTTTTTCACCTTTTTTCGTATGGTACTTAAAATATCTCATTTATTCATTATTGTTATTTAATATTATTCCTCGTTATAGATTTAGCATGGTATTTAGGCACAAAATGCAATGAAAAATAGTTTATTTTGGAATAAAGCTGAATTTTTATTGCCAAATGTTTGGAGGTTCCTTATGCCCCTATATTTCTTTGAGTTATTGCATACCATACTGCAGAGCATTCTAATTTTTAAAAATGATCGCCACCAAAAATGATTGAGAAACACTAGGGCATTCTTTTGAAGAAAAATTCACCAGTCAAATAAAAATAAATCAATTGACTACAGTGTTTGGCAGTTAAGGCAGTGTTTCTGTGAGGCATATCTACCAATTTTCGTAAAATTTTGATCATTTCTTGAGGGGTACCTCTAGTTTTATTGGCAAAATTAATGTTTTGCGAATTTTGCATTTTGTTTCGTAAAGGCATTAAACATTTTGCTACTTTGACGATTTCTCACCAAATTTGTATTTAGAGTGTACTCTTCTCAGAAATTTGGGTTAGCATAAAAATTTGATGTTTTTATTGTACAAAAAACAATTTTTTCCTTTTGTTTTTTGCTGCAGGTGAATTCTTATACTGTGCATTGCCAGCTTTGACGATAAATCAAAATTTTGCGATTGTAAGATCAAATTTATCAATGAAAACTGTGATTTGGTGATTTGTGAATTTAGCGTGATCAAATTTTATTTCATTTTAACAGATCCAAGAACATTATACTGATATCATAAAAATAACAACAGCATGTCAAAATTTTGTTTTTTAGGCGGAAAATATATTAAAATATTATTATTTCCATATGTTGTGTTTTAAAATTTTTATATGTTATTAATTATTGTTATATTATAAAAATAACAACAACATGTTAACATGTTTTGTTTTTAGGAAGAAAATATAAATTTTATTATTTCCATATATCATGTTTTAAAATTGTCTCTGCTGTTCATTTTTGTGATTTTGAAAAATTTAAATAAGATAATAAATATCGTAAGGGATAATTTTTAATTACTTTTTAGTAAGAACAAGAGATCTATTGTAATTATGTTCAAATGAATTTCTGTGTAAAATTGATTTTATGCTTTAAAAAATTTTAAAAAAAAAAGTTTTTTTTAAAGATCTTCTGACCTAAATGACAATTCTATTCAGAGCTTTTCTTGTGATGGATAGACTTGTTACTCTGTTTTAAAATTGCCGGTTGTTTGCAAGCGGAATTGCCTTTTTCTGCTTTTGATCCCAAATGTCTTTTTCTGACACTTTTCTCTTCCCTTTGTAGTAATTTTCAGTAGTCTTAAATATGGAAAATACAACAGTAATTCTAATATTGTCATATGGACAGGCATCTGTAAAAAGGAGTTTTTTGTTATAAAGAAATTGTAAACTGACAATTTAAAATATTCACCTCATATATCTATATATACATTGTATCATTTCATAAAGTTTTCTAAAATTATTTTTAATATTGAAATTGCTTAAGAAATAAGATTGGTAATTTTTGCTTATTTTAAATACTATATGCAGTTTTTTAGAATAAAGGATTTTTTAAAGTAAATAGCAAAATTAAGAGATGAAGCAAGAACTCATTAGGAAAGAATATGTTTGCATAAAGCAAAATTAAATTCTTCTCCAAAGGGATATTATTGAAAACATTAATAAATTAGTACATATTGTAGCAGGTAATGCATAGATTAATAGAAATACTGATTTGTTTGTTAAAAGAAAAAAATCTAGAAATTTAGTGAACATTTTAAATGAAATTTGAAAATTTTAGAAATATAGTGAACAAGGAATATTTTCTTTGTAAGATTTAAATAAATTAAAATATCTTAAAAAATATTTCAGATGAAAAAGATACAAAGATTTTATTCTGTTATGAACTTTTTGTATTTTTTAATATGTGATTGTTTTAATATTTTTTTAAAACTAATGCAATAAATTATCTTTTATTGTAAAATTTTCTTAGATTTTGATTCAAATAATGCATCTTTTGGTGAATAACAAATAACCCTCCGATTTTCTAATGAATTAAATAATGCTTTAAATTAAAATCACTAACCAATGTACCTGTGTCCTGTAAAATGTTCAGCCCTTGTTTTCAGTCCCCAATGATTTGTCTCGAATAAATTTTTATATGTGTTAATACTGATGTTAAATTTCATCCATGGCACAGAGAAAACTAAAATTTTTTGGCTGCTCAATGATCTCTCTCAGATTTTTTTTACTCTTATTTTCAAAAACATCAGTTACAAACATAAACATTGATCAGCTGAGTGC